AAGTAATTTGGCAGGAAAGGGAGTGGGGAAGGAGAAAAGGAAAGAAGAAAATGAAAATGTACTGACTGCCAATTCTTGTCAGCCACTGAATGAGGCACTCATTGTCTCCTTTAATTCTCATCCCCAGTCATTAAAATCTATATAATTAGCCCCATTTCTCATATGAGAAAACTTAAGACCACAGCACTGATAAATGGCAAAATGGGATCTGAATCCACTCCATCTTACTCCAAAGAATGTATTATTTCTACTATACCAAAGAAAGCGTATAATAAAAGAGGAATACTCAGGGCAGAGGCTGGGATGTATCAATATCAAAGGCACAAGTGAAGTGAGATGAGCAACAAAAACTTTATTTTAGAATGAGCAATCTGATGATGGATAGAAAAAGAATCAGGAGAGGGTGCCTGGTAGGTTCAGTTGGGTTAAGTATTTGCCTTAAGCTCAGGTCCTGATCTCAGGATCCTGGGATCAAGCACAGCATCATGCTCTCTGCTCAGCAGGGAGTCTACTTCTCCCCCTCCCTCTGCCCCTCCCCCCACTCGTGTGTGCGCGCACCGTGCGCGCTCTCTCTCTCTCAAATAAATAAATAAAATCTTTTAAAAAAGGAAAAGAAAACAGAAATAATCAGGAGAAATTGTTATGGAGGAATCTAGGGATGAGAGAATTTTAAGATGGGTGGTCAATAATGTCGAACACTATTGAAAAAGTCAGGCTAAGGACTGGAAAGTCCATCTTGTTTAATAATTAACAGGTTTTGGTGACCTTTTTGAGAACAGATACTGTAGAGTGGTAGGTTAAAAGTCAGAGGGCAGCGAACCGAGAAGACACCAGGAAGCAGGTAAACAGAGGCAGTGAGGGGAGGAGAACAGGTATTAGCTGGAGGGGAAGTTGGAATAGGGAACGAGGGTGTTTTAGGATGGGAGGACATCTGGAGGCCAAGATGAGGGGTAGGTGGAGGAGAAACAGACACGGGGGGGGGGGGTGTGAATGATGGGGCAAGGTTTCAGAGGAGAGGACAAGGGCCACTTCCTCCTCTGATCATGAGGAGGCAGGAGAAGGTACTTCTGTGAAGAAGTTTGGAGGTGGGGAAGAGGGCAGTGGAAGGAGCTCCAATGCAATCGCCCCTCTTCACTATGAAGTCGGCCCGCTTGCCGGTTAATAGCGAGAGGGACAAACAGGATGAAGGAGGCTTCAGGAAGGGACGCGCTGCAGGAAGCTGGAAAGTACAGGGAATGCTAAACATGCCCTGGAGACGCCAAGTTCCTATTCTACCCAGATTCATGTCATTTAAAAAACTGATAAGCATGCAATCATTGATATCATGGATGAAATCATTGATAAAATACTTCTGATTGAAGAAGGGCCTTTGTCCTGTCGCTACTATGTCGGCATGTTGACAGAGACTCCTGAACGGCGGCGGCGTCTCACAAAGGGACCAGAGACTCAGGACTGAGTGGGGCTACTCTCATTCGCAGGTTGGGGTGCCCGGGCTTTAGGTCTCCGCTGGCCCAGGAAGTCTAATCTGGGGAGCCGAGCACTAAACCAAACCTCCTCTTTGACCTGAAGGCATCTGTACCTCACACCCAAGGGGAAGGCCAGACCCTGTTCCTGCTGTAAATGCCTACTGCTGGCTCAGAAGAAATGGATTTGAAGTACAAAGTAGACACTCAGGAGGACCAGCCACACCACCACCTCCACACCACCACCTCCCCCACGAAGACGTTTACCTTTAAAGAGGCCTGTAGTGCAAGCCTAGGCCCTGCGTAGCTCTGCTGCTTGGTTTTAAAAATTACTAGAACTACTTCAGCAGCAGATAAAAGACCATATGCTTTTTGCAAGAGGCTGTTACTCTCTCGGGGTTGGATCCGTAGTTTTATTTTTCTCTTCCTCCTCCCCCTTCTTTTTGCCTTAGAATCTTTCTTCAAATTATAACTTGCATGGAATCCAGATATGTAAGTAGAAAAAAGCACAACTCCACTGATTAGGGCCAGGGGGATCTATAGGCCAGCTGATTCACCTTCTTTTTCTCTGCCTCCAAACCACCTTCCCATCCAGCCATCAAAAATACCGGTCATTCAGATTTCATAGCAACATGGATTAAAAGGCTTATGATAGTGTGAAAGTTTTTAAATCAGGGCAAAAAAATTCAATTAATATCCAAAACATAAAGAACCCACACAACACAACAGCAAAAAAATAAACAATCGGGGGCACCTGTGTGGCTCAGTTGGTTAAGGGTCTGCCTTCAGCTCACGTCATGATCCCAGGGTCCTGGGATGGAGTCCCACATCAGGCTCCTTGCGCAGTGGGGAACCTGCTTCTCCCCCTGCCTGCCACTGCCCCTGCTTGTGCTCTCTCTCTCATGCTCTCTCTCTCACTCTCTCTCTGTCAAATAAATAAATAAAATCTTTTAAAAATAAAAAAGGGCGCCTGGGTGGTTCAGTCATTAAGTGTCTGCCTTAGGCTCAGGTCATGATCCCAGGGTCCTGGGATCAAGCCCCAGGTCGGGCTCCCCACAGGGAGTCCCACTCCCCCTGCTTGTGTTCCCTCTCTCACCGTATCTCTCTCTGTCAAATAAATAAATAAATAAATAAACAATCCAATTTAAAAAATGGGCAGAAGATCTGAATAGACATTTTCCCAAAGAAGACATCCAGATGTCCAAGAGGCACATGAAAAGATGTTCAACATCACTAATCATGATGGAAATGCAAATCAAAACCACAACAGCACGTCACAGTTAGGATGGGTAGTATCAAAGAAATGAGAAATAGCACATGTTGGTGAGGATGGTGAGAAAAGGGAACCCTCATGTAATGTCGGTGGGAATGCAAATTGGTACAGCCACTGTGGAAAACAGTATGGAGTTTCCTCAAAAAATTAAAAACAGAATTACCACATAATCCAGTAATTCTACTTCTGGGTACTTATCTAGGAAAACAGAAACACTAACTCCAAAAGATATCTGCACCCCCTCATTCATTATAGCATTATTTACAATAGCCAAGATACAGAAGCAACCTAAGTATCCACCAGTGGGTGAATGCATAAAGAAGATGTGGGGGGCGCCTGGGTGGCTCAGTTGGTTAGGCGACTGCCTTCGGCTCAGGTCATGATCCTGGAGTCCCGGGATCGAGTCCCACATCGGGCTCCCTGCTCAGCGGGGAGTCTGCTTCTCCCTCTGACCCTCTTCCCTCTCGTGCTCTCTATCTCTCATTCTCTCTCTCTCTCAAATAAATAAATAAAATCTTTAAAAAAAAAAAAGAAGATGTGGTATATGTATATACAATGGAATATCATTCAGTCATAAAAAAGAAGAATACCATTTGTGACAGCATGGTAAGGGCATTTTGCTAAATAAAATGAATCAGACAGAGAAAGACAAATATCATACGATCTCATTTATGCATGGAATCTTTAAAAACCAAACCAAACCAAACAAAAAACAAAAAACCCCAAGCTCATAGATACACACACAGAACAGATTGGTGGCTGCACAATATGGGGGGCAGGGGGTAAGGGTAGGTGAAATGGGTGAAGGAAGTCAAAAGTTACAAAAATAAGTAATGGGAATGTAATATACAGCATGGTGACTATAGTCAATAATACTATATTGCATATTTAACAGTTACTAAGAGAATAAATCTTAAAAGTCCTGATCACAAGAAAAAAAATTTTTGTAACTATGTGTGGTGACAGATGTTAACTAGACTTACTGTGGTGACCATTTCACAACACATACAAATATCAAATCATTATGTTGTACACCTGAAACTAATATAATGTCATGTCAATTATATTTCAATAAAAAAATTCTACATACAATATGATTGTAATTATTTAAAACCAATCTATAGAAATGAGGCAAAGACTAGCAGGAAATACACCAAAGTGCTAACAGAGGATATGGTCCACATTTTCCTCCGCTCTGTTCTATATTTCAGAAAGTTTTACATAAGTAAACACTTTTATAATGAAAAAGTTTTTAATATTCAAAAATGTTTAAAGCAAAGAAGATTCCTTCCTTACCATAGGGGTTTCTTTACATCACTTCATGTCCCTACTAAATGTACAGAGAAATAATATACATAAGAGTTATTGGTGTTTTTCATTTATTTACATATATTTATTGAGAGCTATTTAAGAGCAGGGCCTACATGGAATTTATATTCTAGTGGAGGAACACAGTCAGTAAACAAACATAAAAAAAAAAAATACTAGGCATTTGATAGTGCTGTGCAGAGAATTAAAATAGGTAATACCATTTTTTTTAAAGATTTTATTTATTTATTTGAGAGAGAGCGTGCACACGAGCAAGGGGAGCACAGGGAGAGGGACAAACAGATTCTGAGCTGAGTGCCAAGCCCATCACTGGGCTCAATCTCAAGATCCTGAGATCATGACCTGAGCCAAAACCAAGAAACCAAGAGTCAGATGCTCAAATGACTGAGACACACAGGTGCCCCAATAGGTAATATATTTAATAATAGCATTTTTAGATTTGGGGATCAGGGAAGGCTCAAAGGACGTGAGACATGAGCTGATACCTGAATGACAAGAGTCAGACTTGGGAAGATAGATGAGAGCCAATGCCAACACCCTGAGCAAAAATAAATGTCCAGTTTGAGGAACTGAAAGAGCCATTGTGTCTGGGGAGCACTGGGTAGGGGAGCTGTATGAGGTGAAGACATTGCCCCTTCCTTCAGGAACTTGTGGTGAAACACAGCTCGGTAGTCATACAGACAGTTCCTGACACTTCTCTTTTGCCATAAGCCTTCAGAGGACTACAAATTTGTAATATTCTGCAAAGTAGAAAAGTCAGGACTTTTTTTTTTTGAAGAATTAAGTCTTTTTTTTCTGTAGACTACAATTTTCTCACCTGTATTCAAAGGAGCTACATGACAATGTTAGCCTCAGAGAGAAAACAGATTTAAAGCATATTCCATTGAACCAGCCACGCTAAAAAATCCGAATTGTTCTCCAAAATCAAGACTTACTTATCCTTCCCAAACTCGAATTTCCCAGGCCCAATTCGAAGTAGATAGCCACTGAGCCACTTGGGAAAATGTCCTCGGACTCGAGCAGAGACCATCTGTGGCGTCTCCTCCACCGTGGTTAGGAGTGGTGCAATACATGGAAGCCTCTCACGCTTACCGAAGGTTGCCTTCTTCTGATGAGTACTTTCCATGGTCCTGTGAAGAGGAAATCAAGAGCACAAAAAAATTGTACAAGATGCCCGTTTCTCCATAGACAATACTCTTACCTACTGGTAAGGGAAAAGTAAACCCATCACCAAATATAGTCTCCAAATTCCTCTCCTTCCTCATTCTCAAACTGTCACCTCTCTGGTTCTCCATTTTTTAACTACAACAATCCTTTTTTTTGTATTCTTGCAGTACAAATCTGCCTAAGAATGAACTCAGGACTGTATTATTATTATCATTTGTCATGGTTGAACAATGTTCCTCTTTTCACAAGACTGAATCTACGTATTAACCTCAGATGTGCTAAAAGCAACCTCACTGTTATGATAAAAAATGACACTATTCATCACTATCCTAATTACATTACACCAGAACGGGATGCCAAAGATTTCACAGCAATTTACAAGAATTTAGTAGGATCTGTAATTCAATTTCTTCCATTTTAATGACATATGCATGAACATGCATGGCATTTTCTAAAAGAAGGGTGTCATGAACTAAATTACGCAGTGAGACCTGGTCTGGAATTACCTAAAGTTCAAAAGCCACAAGAAAAAAAAATCATTATTATATAAGAAGCTGAAAATTATCCCTTTTACTTCATATTCATTTGGTGTTCACAAGGTAGTGTTACCTTAACACAGAGGGGTGGTCAGATATGTAATTAATTAGACAGCACTTTATTTTATTTCATAAAATTTTAACAGTAATATAGAAGTCTAAACTAGAAAATCTAATACACAGAGACCCTATTCCTCTGAAGAAGTGAGATTTGCATTATTTTAGCAAAATATTTTACAGTGTTATATCTATCATCTCATTTCTTTCAAATCTTTATAAAATTCAGTTTAGAGTACACGATTCCTTCTACTTTCTTGTAACAATTCAGTCAAACCCAACTATTTCCTGCTTTCCCAAATAAAATTGACTTATATATCCCTAAGGAAATGCTAGTATTGTTCAAATTCTATCACAAATCTACCTCCTTTATGAGGAAGTGTAGTGTAATATTTAATAAGAGTACTGCCTCAGGTTCTGCTGGGCTCCAGATTGCTTGGGTTCAAATCCTGGCCTGCCATTTTCCAGATAAATAGCCTTGAGCAAGGCAACCTCTCTGTGCTCTGTTTCCTCTTTTCTAAGGTGGAGATAATAATAATTCTTATTACTTCTAAGACTATAAATAATAAATGAGTTAGGTTTTATAAAGTTTTTAGAACATAGTAAATACTCAAATGAGTATTTTGATAATAGCTAATGATACTTAGCTATCATTATTTACATAGCTTTTAATGATCAATCCAACAAGATGTAACATCATCTTCCTTCGAATTATTTATACATTCAACAAAATAGTAACTGGTGAGGGATAAAAAGTACTCAAACCTGATGTAAATGAACATATAAACAGATCATTTATACTATAATCAGTGTTTTGTTTGAGCACTGTTTCTCAAGGTATGGTCTGAGGGCCACTTGGAACAGAAATACATGGTATTACTGCTAAAATGCAGATTCATGGACTCCACCCTGGACCTAATCAGAATTTCTGGGATACAGCAAGGAAGTATTCTTAGGCATATGAAAATCTGAGAACCACAATATTAGAGGTATAAAGAGGATGCTTTGAAACGCTTAGTTATTTATCTTACTACTTTTATTTATATTATGCCTATTCATCTCACGCTCCTCTTACATTAAAATAAATGTCCTGAGGTCAGTTACTTTAGTCCTCTCACTTAAGTAGAATTAAATTGAATACCCTGATCGGACATTTGTCTGAATAGAGATTCATGAACTTAAAACACTTCACATTTTTAGAAAAAAACTTACATGGCTGTATGTTCTATACTCCATAGCATGTTATTGGCAGTTTTTTATATTCTCTTCAAACTTTCCACGGTACTTGATATTGTGATCTATACTTCCTTAAACCCCTTTCTATTGTTGGTTCCTGAAAATACTGCACTTCTCTAACTTCCTTGCTCCTTCTTTGCTTTATGCTAGCTTCACTTCTTAGCTGACAACCTTGAATAAGTTACTAATCACTTGGAGCCTCAAGTTTTTCAATGATAGAATGGGGGTAATGGGAATGAAAGGAAGATAATACTTCCCATTTGTTTGTCGTCATAACTAAATATAGTAGTAGATAATTTCCAAATGTCAACTCCCTCAAGTGTTCCTCTTCCCCTTATCACCTCCTGAGTCTGACCTTGGACCTTTACTCTTTATAATCTCAGGACACCCTCCTTGGTAGTCTCATCTAGTTCCTTAATTTCACCAAGTACTTCTTGCAGGTGGCTCTCAACATGTCAAAAGAGAATTCTTCATTTTCCCCTTTCCAAATCCATTTTTCCCACCTGCAAAATCATCTAGCTTCAAAATCTCTGTGTGGGCCTTTAATTCCTCTTCTTCACTGACAGTTGTCACCACTACTTTCTTGAAACATACTTACATGTCTTTGCTAGGAAGACATGATAGGTAATTGTTAAAAGTATCTCTGTGCAGTGCTAGTTAACTCCTTTTAGTGTGAGTTACTAGAATATGTTGACAAAGGGGTCAGAAAGGTAGTGAAATGTCCCCTCACATTCGCTAAGAGGTTAAATTCTGACTGTCACCAGACGGGGCCAGGAAGAGAATGTTACAGGAATGATATAGGGGGGCCAGTATAAACCCCTAGGGCTCAGAAGTCCACAAGAGTGCCTCGGGCAAACCCTTTGTCAAGATGTGTGCTGGTCCACGCCACCCGGGCAGCCCCCCCCGCCCCACTGTTTCTTCTGGTCCATACCTGTCCTTCTCAGCATCGATGCTTCAATCTCTCTTTCCTATCAGTCACGTTCTTGCCACTGTCCTAATTTAGGCCCTCACAGCCTCTTAGATAAGATGGTCAGAGTCTCTTAATTGGAAGGAGAAAGCAGATAGGGAAGCTACCCACTATGGGGGCCTCCAAATGGCTGGACCTCTTGACCCCTCTGCCCCTTGGGATGGCTAGAGCCCACAGGCCAAGTGCCTCCAGCTCTGAACAGTTCATGGGGCTCCAGATCCCATCCAATCTATTCCAGTGTGAAGTAAAAATACTATCATTCTCTACGTGTGCTATGATGTGAAAAAGGCTAGGAAGCACTGCTACTAAATTAATCTTCCTAAGTACAGATCTGATTGTATCAAATAATCCTCCAAAAGCCCTCACACATGACTCCTCACTGTCTACCACGTAAAGTCTAAATTGCGTGGCCAGGCACTGAAGGCACTGTACAATCTCACACCAAACTACCTGTCCAGGTGCCCCCTCACTAATGCCTTCCACTCCAGCCAAACTAAGCCACTCCCCATTCTCTTCTCATCACAATTATACCCTTCTCTTCACCTAGGATATTTCCCATCTCCTCCAGGTGAAATTCACTGACCCTACTCATCCTTCAAGATCCAGTGCACACATCACCTGCTTCTTAAACACAACATTCCCATTTCCTATAACAAGAACTGATTCTCCTTAGTCTGAACTCACACAGCATCTATTTCAGCTCTGTTATGGCACTCATCTTACTCTCTCTTGTGCGATAAGGATGAATACAATTTATAGGGGCGCCTGGGTGGCTCAGTCGTTAAGCGTCTGCCTTCGGCTCAGGTCATGATCCCAGGGTCCTGGGATCGAGCCTCACATCGGGCTCCCCGCTCTGCGGGAAGCCTGCTTCTCCCTCTCCCGCTCCCCCTGCTTGTGTTCCCTCTCTCGCTGTGTCTCTGGTCAAATAAATAAATAAAATCTTTTTAAGAAAAAAAGATGAATACAATTTATAACTTCTACTACTGGTATTCCTTGAGTAAAGGGTCACTTGTTTTTCCTCCCACTCTAGTACGTAATACAACTGCCTTGCATACTGCAAGTACTAAATTATTGAATTAAATAATTTTAAAGTTTATAGTCCATATTAGTATGATTTCTGAAAGCTCAACATCAGCCAATTTCAAGAAATAAAATCATGTAACAATAGTAGCTAAAAAAGAAAGTTACAAAACAAAACCAGAGGTTTTAAGGCAGTCCCCCAGAATGCAAACAGCAGAATGAAACATTTACATTAGGACATGTAGCAATGATTTTCAACTGAGAAGGGTCTAAACAGTGAATATTCTCCCTATTGCAGATCCAAGGGAATCCCTAAACCCTGATCCTGCCCCACATTAGATAAAATATACAAATGGAAAGACTGTTTCCCTGACAAGTAAACAAATATTGACTCAGTCTTCCTTAACTCCCAGCTCTGTGGTGGTGCTGCCTATATCTGCTACACACAGAGTGAAAAGCTTCAGAAGCCCCCAGTACTCTTCAGGAAAGAGGCACAGAATTGGAAGCCTGAGTGGCTAGGAAGAGGAGGAAGGGGAGGAGGAAGGGGCAAATCCCCTACCTGGGATCCAGTGTCCTACCACAGAAAGGAACCCCACTGCAACGGTAGAAAGGTTGCTGACAAAATGGAGAAAGGTCTGAAAAAACATTCTGGTATTGATTTAGCAGCAGCAGATCCTGTGATTTCCAAAACCTCCCACTCACTTCCTGGGCTGTCCTTGGCTCACTGACAGAATAGGAGGGAATGGGGGAGGAAGTCAGGGAGGGCAGACAAGGGATAGGGCTTCCAGACGCCTGCAATCTCTCCCATAGGTCGGTCGCATTGTCAGAAGTATCCCAACTACCTATCTGTGATAAGCAGCTGTTTGAAATTCTGAAATTGGACCACCAATAGTGGTCTCCCTTCCTAAACTTTCTTCTTTCAAACCTCTTCTCACATTACAATTAAGCGCCTTGATCCATGGCTCAGTTTCATTATGCCACTTCTCTTCTGAAAGATTAACATCTCTTTCCTTACAGAATAAAGTCCAAATGTAGTTTATCAACAAAGGACTCTACAATCTGGCCACACCTACCTTTCCATCTTTTGCCCCTCTGCCTTCTAGCATTTCATCCCTCCTTTTCTTTTCCATTTATTTAATGTACAAAACATTTTCTGACAATCTAGTATGAATAATGCTCTGTGGAAGTATGCCCTTAATAAATGTATAACCACGTATATTTTTATTAATATAACCAACACCTTTGAGCACCAATATATCAAATACTGTACTACAAATTATGAATAGAAGGAAACAAGATTCAGTCCCTGCTCTCCAGCAGTTTAGATGATGCGCTATTGCCCTTTGTGAATTCTCAGCTCAGGGAAAAGCTTATCCAACATACCATGTTATTTTTGTTCTTCAGTGCCATTTTAACAAACTTTCCCCTGCCTGAAATATCCTCCCTCTTTACTTATCAAAAACTCATTTCACTACCTTTCTGACCCCTTTGTCAACATATTCTAGTAACTCACACTAAAAGGAGTTAACTAGCACTGCACAGAGATACTTTTAACAATTACCTATCATGTCTTCCTAGCAAAGACATGTAAGTATGTTTCAAGAAAGTAGTGGTGACAACTGTCAGAAGGGAGAACAAAGAGTACCTTACACTATTCTGTATTCCCCACAATGCCTAGCAGAGTATGATGTACAAGACATTCAATATCTATTTTTATTGGTAACCAGTGAGAAATAATTTATAAACTTGTGAAATTTTATTGAAATGAGTAATATTAGAAATGTAAATTAAAGGGCAATAACATATCTGCAGTTGTTAATTATTCGGAGATAATTACTCTTGTTTATGTGGATGGTACCAAAGACATCAAAATTTGATAAAAATCAGTCTTAATTAGGCTTTCAGGAACTTTTATCCTAGGAGATAGCTGTTCTGACCAGTAAACACATTGTGCCTAAAAATCAGTTCCCTAGTCTTAATCATACCAAATGAAATGATCAAACCAATTCTCTGAACCAGCATAGGAAAGAACCACACGTTGAACAACGGTGACACCACCAAGATATAACAAGCATATTATGAAATGCACTCTGAAACAATGTTAGCCTTGTCTTTCTCATTAGTAATAAATGCTTAGAAAAAATAACTCAGGAACATTTAATTATGATGTGTCAGGAGAGTCATCTTTGTATTTAGAACATTAAAAAATTCTGTAAGTTAACAGTAAATCAAAATCCAGGTGACATGTCATATCAACTCAAATATAGTCTTCTGGTTACATTTAGTATTTTAAAATTCCATTACTAATAGTTATTTCACTGACCTCCAACCTACCCTACACCATTAGCATATCCCTCTACAACCTAATTTTTTCCACTTAACCAATATTTTTAGTTAGTATTTTATTTTACCATTTCAATCCTTTCTTATATGAGTATTTATGTAATGTGGTATATATGCCTTAAAATAGTAATCTGATTGCTGCTTTAGTTGTCAAATGAGATTTTAACATTTAGAAGGCAGCAAGGCAAATACACTATACACCAGAGGAATACCAAATTCCCTGTGGCGCCATTTGTAAATATGTCCAAATTTGTGACTGCTTATATTGGTAAAATATATATAAAATAGATTGAGTTATCTATATGATTGAAAAATGCATGCTGTGATTTTTAAAAACCTGATTAATATAGTTATCACATATAATAGTTACCATATATAATTATATAACATATTAAAAGTCTTCAATAAAATCATAGCAGTACCTTCCAACCCTTTTTTAGAGAATTTTTTTTTTTTTTAGCTAGGTGAGTTTTAGAGATCCTCCAATTGAAATTCAATTTATGAATTATAATAGGTTTGAAATGACTCATCAAGTTTACCTTGCTGTTTAGGCAATCTTTTTACTTCTGGATCACTAATTTTTGTCCCATACCACACAGTTGCTAAGGCTCTAAATATAATTTATTAACTGCACCACTGATATGGTTGATATGTAAAAAAGCCAACTCATGTAAGGTTTTGGTTAGTAATTTCTGGTTTTTATTTTATCACTTTTACCACAAGAAATAATTTTAAACCAAGAATTTTTATTAGTCATATATAATAACTAATAGTGAAAATAATCAAATGGTAACATTAAATAGCAATACCTTAGCTATATTTTATTACATATTGTGAAACTGGACAAATTACCTTGAGGTTTTAGATTTTTTTATAATACTGACTATGAAAAACATTTTAAAACTATCTCCATAGCTATCTAGCTGCTATTTAGACAGAGTATTTTAAAAGAAAAGTGCAATGTTAAACATTATCAAAATAACTCACTGAGTCCTCTTTTAGAATTTTAAGAAAGGCTAGGAGGCTTAAGGAAAAAAAGAATCTATATGCAATTTAAATAATTTACACTTTTATGAAATATGCAAAAGATTTAACCCTCAAAAAAAAAAGCTACATACTTCATATTAATATCCAGTTTAAAGTCCCTTTTAAATCTAGAAAAGAAATTCAAGGAATTTCCCCTTCTATGGTTAAGGCACACATTTTCTTTAACAACTAGAGAGCTTTCAGAGCATAAACGTCATTCTTTTAATACAACAATAATGGGCTTAAATTCTCAGATTATTTTAAGTACACAATTTTATCTGTGCAGTGTGTTTGCAATCACTGTAAACCTCTGTCTCAGGAGCTCTCTTTTTTGTATTAGAAAGTTTTCAATAGTATTGGCTTCTTTGAAGAGTCCATCTATCTCGTCAATATAAGATGCATCTACTGCTGCTCTCTCACTAATGAGGAAAGAAAAGTTTTATGTTAAACTAAATAGTTAGAATGTCTAGTGGACTATCACAGTGATGTTCTTTATTATGTTATACTTGTTAGCTACTTCATTTAAATAGCTTTGTACATAAAAAAGCTTCATTAATTTAGAAAGAGTCTTCAGTAAAAGTTAAATTAGTCATGTAAATATTTTTGACTATTCAAAGTCTCCTGACACTACAGACTATGTATCTTATAATACATTATAATTCTAATATTAAACTATATACATTATTTTAACAACCACATACACCATCATCCAAATACAATGATTGTCCAGTAGTTAAAAAAAACCCACCTTAAAAAACAAAACAACAACAAAAAGAACACCTTATAAACATGATAATCTCAAGCCAATAAAATATTTAAATTCAGTCTTCGACTATCAGACATAATATTTAAATATTTCATAAATATATTTATTTTATCTTTAATATCACTCTTATCATTAACTTCAACAAATGGCATTTTTCTCAAAGAAGTTTTTCATTAAATGTTAGAATTTTATTAGAGACCAAAATACATCCAGCCTCGTATTTAGCTCTGGTAATAACAAAACAAAGGATGTTTAGTGGAAAAGTTGGGGTTATTCTTTGAAAATAACCGACTAATCTATTTTAAAAAACTAAGGTAGAATAAAAAACTCTGAAATTACAATTACTGGATAGGTTTGCAGCCACTGAACTAAACTTCTCATTATGGGGTTTCCAGAAAAAAATTATTTCTAAGAGAAAGACTCAAAAGGATATGCTATAATACTTGCCTTAAGATCTTTGCATATGTAGACAACATTAGATTAATTTCCTTGCTCATATCTGTTCAAAAAAAATCACTGAGTAAGTTGTGAACTATAATAAACTTTCTGTATTATAAAATCAATGTTTAGAAATATATGCATTTTATATACCACCATTCAAATCTTTCTCCAGGGATTCATCTTTATAAAATAGTCCAGAGCTTTCCAAGAAAGAGGAATCTGATTTTCCAAGAGAGGACAGTTGTGGACTATCTGGCATTTGAGGCTAATAGAAGAAAGTAAAGAAAATAGATAAATAGTCAACAAGATCCTTAGGACAAATGCATTCTGTCCCCCAAAAAGGCAAATAAAACATCTTTCAGGAAAAAAACAAACACGCTAGGAACTATACACATTCATCCTAATCAGTCATTTGAAGTTTTATTATCAAGAAAACTTTTAGGCCTAACAAACACCTTGTTCAACATACTTATTATTACTTTGGTTTTACATTAGACTTTGAATATGGTATTAATCCCTTGATGAAAAAGTTTCCTGTATCTTGAACCGGTAGATGTTTCCATAGCAATATAGTAAAACTTTCATTCAGACAATAGCCAAATGCTTGCAAAATTTTGCAAGATAACATAATCTTTAAGGAAGCAATAACATCCCAAATGCAAACAGATCAAGTAGTGGGAGGAGTAGTGAAGAAGGGCAGAATACAGTGCTCTTAATTAAAAATATCAGCAACTATAGTACCTAAGTATTCTACTTATTAGAGCAAAACAATTACTTAAAATCCTATGTATCATATAGGCATGAACCCATTTCTGTTTCTCCATCATGAATTACAACAAAGAAATTTCATCTCCCGATAGTTTCTTGAAAGCCTATACTATTTAGTGAAAAAGCAGCTGAAGTCAACATAGTTCCTGCTGGGACAATCCCACTTCTGGGAATATGAAAACATCAAATTCCATTCATCAGTAGAACTTTCTGAAATAGAAAAAAATTTGAGAAGCATAAAAAATAAAACTAAAGATTAAGGCTCCAGGAGCATGTGGATTACCTCCAGTTCTCTTGGTCTCTTGCAATTTCTAGTATCAGGTTTTACAATGTGACTTGCCATCATATTCTGGAGGCGAGAACTGCAAGGTTTAGAGGAATGCCAAATATAAGTACGAACTCCATGCTATAGCGTTTTTGAGTCTTTCCCTTTCTTTCCAGTCCCATCAATTTAATTTAGGCTCTCATTATCTGTCACTTATCCGAACTACCCACTTCCTCCCTGCCCTATTCCATCCTATCAACTGCTGTTTGGGCAATCTTTCAAAACTGATTACCATATTCCCTTAACTCAAAAACCTTCCCGCTCTTCATTACTCCAGAATGAGTCCAATTTCCATGGTACGGCACCCAAAGTCCTATATCACCTGGGGCCAACCTACCGTTCCTATGATTTTCATCTACTCCCTCAGCAAAACCAGTCTCTTTGGCACTTCTGCCTGTTTCAGAATTTAAGATTCTTCTACCTTCAAAAAGTCTTAATGTTGAAATATATCTTATAGTTCATCTAATTCAATGTCATTTCTCACAGACATGAAAACAGAAGCAGAGATCGTTGACCAAGTTCAAACAAGTAAAACTGAGCCAGGCTAGAACCAAGATTTCCTGAGTTTCCACTGCCCTATCTTACCTTAATATAGCATCGAATTTTACTCTTAAATTACTTTCTCCTAAACTCTGAAAATCATTTATTTCCCTAGGAATCTGCAAGAGTGCGTTTAAACAAAGAAAAAATGTAGGAACCTACAAGGGGATAGCCTCTACGTCTTAAGCGATGAGGAGCCTGTCTATATTCGACTATCAATTTACTTTGCTTTTTTTGGAGAAACTATGATGACCTGGATAATTGTAATGAATCTGTTTGATTAGTCATACATCATATTCGTATAAACAAGACAGAAAGACAGCAACAACAAATAATAAATAATAAATTCCCTACAGTGCTCCAAATCGCTGTCAGTACCTTTCCAGCATGTAAGTGCTGTAAGAGGAGCACGCAGAAAACATTCTACAGGCACAGTAGTGCTCACTTTGCCTTGGGAAGTTCGAAAAGAGAAGCCAACGTGAGAGCTGTTCTCTTCTCCTTTCCCCTTTTCCTTCTACACCTCTTCTCTCTTCTCTCAGAGTAACAGAATGTGCGTGGAGAGCAAATGAAAACCTCTACAGTTAGGTAATTCTGTTTCTGCAAAAATAAATTCATTTTTTCTGTCATAACTTAGGGCTCCCTGCTGAATCCAGGCCGGGTCAAAAGGCTGGGGATCCTCCCGTGACACACCCCCTTCGCAGCCTCTAACCTCGGCTATGCAATCCAATGTTCTGGTGACCTAGACTTTACCAAGCAATGACCCTGCACCTTACGCAACTTTTTTCTCCTGTCTTCCCGTTCTTCTCAACGCCTAGTGGGCCCCTGGGGCCATTTCACCTACCTTTTTTCTCACTTCCCTCCCCGCTGTTTTTTCCTCCCTGCTTGTATTTCAGACCCACTAATGTCCCTGTGAGGGACATCCTCTCACTGCCTGGTTTCACACTCTCAAGGGCACGCAACCCTCCAGCCCCATCCCAAGCCCAGCCTACTACACGGCGTCGTGACCTTCCTCGTCAGCCAAAGCGTGGGAACGAAAGGACCTGGTTTGCACGCGCGAGTGCGCAGTCTCCGCGGGCTCCCAGCAGTCAGTGCGTGAATCACGTGAGTCACGTGACGAGCTGCGCAGGCTCCCGGAGCCCGGAGCCTGGGCTTGAAAGCCGGCCAGGAGCCCCTCGGCATTTGGCGGAGGGGTGGCTTTCTTCCTCTCATCTCCCGCTGTTCCCCTGGACTTGGAATCTCTGAAACAAAAATCTCTCCTGTCCTCCAAGTGTGTGGAGAAGGTGGGAAAAATCTGAGACTAGTCTCTCAGGAAAGAAGAGGAATTGCCTGAGCGAGGCTGGGTGGGGTGTGTCCCACCCGTTTGGAATGTCAGTAAAGGTACACAAAACGGGACACCCGACACTACTTCTCAAATAAAACTTAGATCCCATACAACATGGGGTGTTTGAAGGAAGTTTGAAGGAAGCCAGGGTTCCCTTGGCTCGCAAGCGAAACTTGCAGGTCCAGACTCTCCCTCCATTCCTTGGCCTTTTTCTCTGGTGCAACCACACTTTCAGAATCACACCCTTCCAGGGGACGCCTGGGTGGCTCAGTCGTTAAGAATCACAACCTTCTGGAAGATTCCTTTCCTGATGTCAATAGGTTTTGTCACCTTAATTGGCAGCTTTCAAAAAATACCTTCTAACATACATGGCTCACATACTTGGAAGTGCTTTCATGGGGCGACTTTGACCCGCAATTTCAAAGACATTCTAAGGTTATGCCCAGTTAGTTGATGTGGAAGGAAAAAAAAATCACCTCATAAAACAAAGGTCAACAACATCGTCCATAAATTCCAGGTACACACTCTTGCACCTTAGCAAACTAACTTAAGGTTTTTTCCCTCTGGTTTATCTCAATGTTGGTTGTCATAAAGACTTGTGTATGTTTATTAGCTACTTGTGAAAAAGCCATTCGTTTTAAGTAAGTTCCCAGAAAATACTCAGTTTGTTTAATTTGATTTTCTAATATTGTGAAATATAAATCACTTAATAAAACTAGACTAGATAATTAGGGAGTTATTATTGACAGTCTTTATAGGATCCCAATCACTGTTTGAGGATTGATAGCAATCTGTGTTGAAATTTTCACCATGTGTGGGCGCCTGAGTGGCTCAGTTGGTTAAGCGACTGCCTTCGGCTCAGGTCATGATCCTGGAGTCCCGGGATCGAGTCCCGCATCGGGCTGCCTGCTCAGCGAGGAGCCTGCTTCTCCCTCTGACCCTCTTCCCTCTCATGTGCTCTCTCTCTCTCTCTCTCTCATTCTCGTTCTCTCAAATAAATAAATAAATTTAAAAAAAAAAATTTTCACCATGTGTGATAAAATGAGGGGGGAAAGTAATGAGTTTTTCATAAAGCCACAGCATCTGCTTGAAAGAATTGTCCTGTACTCTGGTACTATGTACTTCCTAATTTTTTTGGTGTTAAAGTGGTCTTTCATGAAATAAAAATAAAGATTTTTAAGATTTTTAATGCCCTTACTTGGCAAAATATAAAGTTGCCCGCTCAGTGTTTATCTCTTCTGCATTATTATTATTGTTGTTATTATTCTTAATAGTCTATTAAATCCAAAAGTCTGGGAAATACTGATCTAATTCCTCTTCCAGACTTCACATTGTATGATATCTAAAGAGATAGTTATCTAGTTCCTAAAATAATTTCCAGGAAAAATGATTCCACCTAATACATAAATGTTTACGCCAGATTAAGAGAACACCGGGGACATTTTATTTTATTTTTAAAATGTTATCTCCATTGCATAAACTAAATGAGTAAGAATAAATGAGAGTGTGTGGAGAGTTATAGTTGTCTAGTGCTTTAAAATATTCAAAGGGCTGATGTAATGAATGGTGATTAACATAACATAATAAAATTAAATTAAAAAAATATTCAAAGGGCTGTCATCATCTCATTTAATCTTCACAAATAATCCTGTGAAATAGGTAGGATATGAAGACAGCTGGGTTGCTCTGTATCAAAAAAATGTTTATCCCCAAACTAAGAAATGGGTAAATTGTGCATTGTACATCTTTACAGTTGGAGAAAAATCATCGGCAATGGGCCATTTAAAATTAATTTGTTTGGTGCTCTGCTTCTGATCGCTGACTCCATTTCATGCTTTCATACACTATAGTTGGAGGATGGAAATCTGTTAGTTCAATTTCAATCATGTGTGTATTCTTATCATATACTTCTTAAATGTGTGATTTTTCTTCTGGTAGTCTCTGCACCGAGTACCGCCGAGTATCCCACCACAGGCTTCCTTTGTAATCACTTCTGTGGACATGTTTTTATGACCTTATAAAATGAACACTCTGTTTTGTTAAAAAACAAAACAAAACACCCAACATTTTGCTTCCTAACTCTAGAACCCCCTCTGTTTCTATACAGGCTCTATACTGGCAAAAAAAGCAAAAACGAAGTCACTTTGCTAATTCCCTTGCTAGCGAGGAAATACAATTTAGCACATGTTCAAGAAAAAAATGTCCAAGGAACTTCGTTCCCACTAATTATTTTCTTTCTTTCTTTTTTTTTGTGTGAATTCCCTTCTAACTTTTTTTTTAAGATTTTATTTATTTATTTGACAGAGAGAGAGAGAGAGCGAGAACAGGAACACAAACGGGGGAGTGGGAAGGGAAAAGCAGGCTTCCTGCTGAGAAAGGAGCCCAGTGTGAGGCTTGATCCCAGGACCCTGGGATCATAACCTGACCCAAAGGCAGACACTTAACGACTGAGCCACCAGGGCGCCCCTCTGCTAATTATTTTCAAGGCTGTAATATTTTACTCTGCTTTTTAAAGTTACATTTTAGGTGCTATTATTACATTATAGGGGTTATTCTAATAGGGCTGATTATTCAGCACTGCAAGATAAGGAAGAAGTTTTGTGCTGAAGTGGGAATAGAAAGTCTCAAAACAGAGAGACATTAATGTGAGAAAAGAGGCTTCTAATTGACCAAGCAGGTGGTTTTTTAAAAGGGCTTGGGGGGCACCTGGGTGGCTTAGTCGGTTAAGCATCTGACTCTTGGTTTCAGCTCTGGTCATGATCTCATGGGTCATGAGATCGAGCCCCCCCGCCACCCACCTGTTGGGCTCCCTGCTCAGTGGGGAGTCTGCTTGAGATTCTCTCCCTCTATCCGCTCCCCCCATGCTCTCTCTCTCTCTAAGATAAGTAAGTCTAAAAAAAAAAAAAAGAAAAGAATCTTTAAAAAAGGAGGGGAGCTAGGAAGTACAGTACTTCTGAAAGAGGCACAAGCTTTGGAAGGGCCAGAACTCCAACTTCTACAGAAGAAATTATTTCATTAAAATAGTGATTTTACATTAAAAGAAGTACCCATATTCTCTGGCATTACTTCAAGTTCTGTTGCCCTAGGAAAGAGCCCACATTTGAAGGCGAGTCCAAGGCGTGCCAGAACAGTCTCCTCCCTCCACCTGCTTCCTCCTTTCTCCCAATCGCCTGGTC